AGGATAGATCACGCTCTTCCTCAAATAAAGGTGCATTGGTTCCATAATATTTTAAGTTTGCTAGTTTTTTCATGCTCATTAGAGCATAACATGGTCGCCAATGTATACACAGCACAGCTGGCCGACTCCTGATTTTTGCACTAACTTTCTAATCTTTCACTACAACGACTTTTGAAAAGAATGAATGATTTTTAATGGTCCCTTTATATTCGTTGTATTGAGTATTCACTGTAACTATAATTCATCGGAACTGAGTAACATAACTGGAACAGGCATCAAAAACATGGCTCCAATGACATTTTCTTTCTGGACAACTTTCAATCATAGTTTCTTGAACTTCCATCGGTAATCACTTTCAGTATGACACAAGATGCAAACTTTTATTCAGATAGCTAAGGAACAGCTATTACACAATCCCTTGTTTTCATATCAATATCCACTATCTCCTGCTGCTTGGTCTTCGCATTAAGCTGTCTGACTTGACGATCAGGTCTTTAATTGTCTCTGCCTCTTCTGCATACAAGTCTGCTGTAGCTGTTGATTCCATAGCAGCAGCTTCTAGTTTCTTTTTCTCTTATGAAAATTTCGACCTCCTCTTCTTCAATGCAACATTTATGTTTCTGTTTCTCACCCTCCTGCCTTTTCTGAGTTTGCAGAAATGCACGGTGTTGGTCCCGTGCAGAAGCTACTGATGTTCTCAATTCTTTTCTGATGGGAACATTGCATATGCCACCTGTTACAAGTACGGCATCACAAATAATGCGCTGTGAAATATGAAACAATGTTTATTTTTTTAAAAAAGAAAAATCAAGGATTTTCAAGGGTTTCAAGGTGAACCCTGTGTTTGTACGTTTATTCACATGCAAAAATGAAAAAACTGGCAGGTGTATTGAACACCCCAAACCTCAGCTCTTTATTCCCCTCTGCCTGGCTATGGAAGTGACCCACCTATGTTTGAACAGAAAGCTCACAATCGGAGCCTAGCATGCATGAAGCTCATCCGCTCAGAAGGCAAGCATGACCACAGGTGCCTTATGGTACACCCAACTCACTCCCCTTTGACTTGATGCACCTTTTGTACGAGGGAGATGAGGCTTTTTCAGGGTGGGCAGTCCAGACAGTTTATGTTTTGGAGCCTCACCATACTGTAAGTAAATTTAGCACCACTTGGGAATCCCTGAAAACATTCACACTCAAAAAACACACACAAGAGCGATCATGAGTTACCCAGCAGAAAGTTTCAATTAGTTGGGGCACATTTGGAGCAGAAGATGTGTTTGGGAGCAAGTTTTGAGCAGAAAAAGTGGGATTTAGGTTCATCATTATAGTTATAGGTGGGTTGATTTGATTGATTGATATATGGGGTTTAACGTCCCAAAACCACTATATGATTATGAGAGACGCCGTAGTGGAGGGCTCCGGAAATTTAGACCACCTGGGGTTCTTTAACGTGCACCCAAATCTGAGCACACGAGCCTACAACATTTCCGCCTCCATCGCAAATGCAGCCGCCGCAGCCGGGATTCGAACCCGCGCCCTGCGGGTCAGCAGCCGAGTACCTTAGCCACTAGACCACCACGGCGGGGCTTATAAGTGGGTTGAACTGTATGCGATATTTACTATTAGTAACCCATTTGAAGTTATTTGACCAAAATTCCTATACAGCAAAACTTTGACGATACAATTATGGCTGGTGCGAATGTCGCGATGATACAAATTTTAAGGTAGCTTTGGATAGACCACAATCAACGACCAATTTCTTAGACGCCTGAAATTCCGGACATGCCCGATTTCCCGGACTCATCTGTGGCACCATCAAGTTCCCCATAGAATCAATGTACTAAAATGTCCAAAATTCCAGACGCTTAAAGCCTTTGGCATCCGATTTCCTGGACTTTTTACTGTTAACCGCCGACCCAAAGTCACCACCGAAACCGCCATTTTGGTTGTTTTCATATCCTTGAAGCCGCCATACTCACATCGCAGGTATGGCCAGCACCACCGCTGCCAACCGCCGCACTGCGCCGCGGCTGCCGTAACCTCGAAACCGCACGTGTCAGTCCGTTGCCAGCTGTACTTTAGCGGCTTAGCCAAGCCAAACCGCACTGTGTACATTCACGTGTTGTTTTGTCAGCTCTGCAGTCGTGTCTGCGGTTGATGTTTTGCTGCTGCGCGCTATCTTCACTTAACACATTTCCCAACCTTCAGCATCCACCGAGTTCCTAGCTGTTTCGTGCTGTGCTTTTCGTCGAGCGGATTCGCCGTTTACAGCGATGACATCAACTGCTCCTTCGTCTTTGTCCAACCTTCGAAGCGGGGAAAACCCCTTCGTAGGCTCATGATTAAGAAGAAAGCCACCATCATTGAACAGGTCCAATGCGGTCGGTCGCAGGCAGAGGTGGGGAGGGAGTTCGGAATTTCAAAGCAGACTGTTTCAGACTTCATCAAAAAAAAAAAGGCAAAGATCTTGGAAGTGGCTGCCAAATCAACCGGGGCTAGAAAGAAGAATGCGAGCTGAGTGTTTACCCGAAGCTCGAGGAAGTGCTCGTCGTGTAGCTCAATGCCATGATCGCTAAGAAAATCCTGGTGTCAGCCGACATACTGAAGCAGAAGGCGGAGGTTTTCGCACTTCAGATGGGCGCAAAAGACTTCATGTTTAGCAATGGATGGCTTCACAATTTCAAGAGCCGCAATGACTTGAAGTTTAAGAAGACGTGCGAGGAAAGCGGCACCGTCGAAGATTCCGTTGTCGCCGAATATCAAGATGGAAAGCTGCAGTCCTTGCTTCAGCAGTTTCCACCTAATGTATTTTCAACTGCGACGAAAGTGAACTGTTCTACAAGCTGCTGCCAGAGAAAACACTTGCCTTTGCTGGCGACCCCTGCCATGGCGGCAAACACAGCTAGGAGCGGCTCACTGTCCTCGTTGGCAGAATATGTCAGGCAGCGAGAAGCTTTCGTTACTAGTAATAGGCAAGTCGAAGCATCCAAGATGTTTCAAGGGAGCAGTGACTCTGCATGTTCTCTATGAAGCTAACAAGAAGGCATGGGTAACGCAGCAGTTATTCGAAGTGTACGTGTGCAAGCTGGACAGAAGGTTCGAGCAGCAAAATCGAAGAGTTCTGCTGTTTGTGGATAACTGCACTGTGCATGGCCACATCAAGGACCTAAAGGCTATACAGATTGAATTTTTGCCGCCGAACACTACAGCAATCCTGCAGCTGATAGACCAAGGTGTGATTCGAAACTTGAAGCATCATTACAAATCACGCGTGCTCAGCCACATGGCACTCTGCTCTCCAAAAACGGGAAAAGCTACCCTGTTGACTTCAGGTCTGCCTTCGGCATGCTAGTAATATCGTGCAAGGCGGTTATGCAAGAGACTCTGCGGAACAGTTTTCGCCATGCGGGCTTCACACTCGATGCCGAGACGGCAGTCTCACCCCAAGTGGACGATGTGTGTGACGAACATGGATAGCGTGTGTGACGAGCCGAGCTCGGATTTGACGTGAGCACTGATGACACTGTCATCGGTGTACAGCAGCAACATGACATTGACAGAAATTGAGGCAGACATAATCACGGGCAAGTGGAAGGCGGTGCAAAAGAAAATAGGCGACTTCTTTGCGCCCAAGTGCTGACCTATGAGGTAGCACCGGTAACATAGTTTTTTTTATTTTCATACACTGCTTTTTTCAGAGCCACCTAAACAATGCATTGGCTGAACTGCAATGGGAATCTTGTACTCCGGCCATTACCCTCTCCATCAGCGAAAAATACCTATAAAAAAAAAGTGTGTTTTCATGTGCATTTGTTTTCAGGACTGCCCGATTTTCTGGACGTTTTTGTGGTCCCTTGAGAGTCCGGGAAATCAGACGTCAACTATAAATTAAATAAAATACCCTGTGATTCGGTGTTATAAGAAAGATTTCCCGAGCAACAGCGGATGATACAAATGTGCAAATGACCGCTGCACGCCAGAGGTGCAACGCAGCTTGTCTGTGGGAGGAAGGTCCATTCACTCTTGGCTTCAAAGGGAGTGACTGCGGCAAAACTCCCCGGAATTTACCTTGCTTCACCGCTGGAAAACCATGCCACGAGGTTGACGCGAAAAAATCGGTTTGAAACCAATTTTACTACAATGCAATAGCAAATCACCTTTCTACTACGGCTTTGGCTACACCGGCAGTGCTAGCTCTCAAACCACGCAGTGTAAACAACCAGGCGTACATCAGAGATGGCGGGAAGGCAATGGCGGGTGTGGTGGCTCGCGTCGGTGCAATCGCGAACTACCCTCGCAGTACGACAACGCTCACGGCCTTGAAAAAGAGTAGCCTTGTTTGGATTATGATTGCTGAGAAGAAAGGAAGTAGAAGGTGCAGTGGCAGCAAATCGGCATGCCCCAACGTGTCTCACTTTTGCACTGCCAGCTGAATCCGTTGCCGCCACTGCCAGTGCGTCTGGTCATGTTATTTCTTCTAATGTATCTCCTGAAACAACGTTTGTAAAGGTGTAAACTTCATTTTCAGTGCTTTTGCACTGAAAAGAAACTCTGCTGGAATCTCAATGCTCAGGAATAAATTCTCACGTGGCTAAGACGGTGGAGGTGGTATGTATAAAAGGGCAAAACGAATGTGAACATTTTTTAAGGGCGTAGACGTGGTTCTGCGACCGCACTAGCGTTTTCGCTTGAATTCTCGAGCGTGAATTCTATTATACTGATTTTTTTCATATCGACTTCGCGACACATTTTTCTGGCTGTTTAAGTGGTGAAGTGAGAAAATTTTCAATAAGTTTAGCCACTTTCACTCTATTTGATGCCAAGTGTGAACACGCCTTACAGCGCCAGCAGCATGAGTGAGGAAACCGCGGCACTTTATTGAGAGGCGCTGAAACAACAAAAATATTTGCAATGTGGATCGCAAGGAATGAAAAATGAGCAGCCCAAGCTGGCATGAATTCAATGTGCCAAAAGGCAAAATAAAGCCAATGCTAACTCACTGTGCAGCCCCTCGCAAAGGAAGTCAAAGTCATCAGGCAAAAGAAGCTGCATGAAGCGAGCCAGCAGGGCAGTGGTGGCCTCCCCGAGTGTGGTGCTGTATCGGCACCAGTTCTGGCGCGTCTTATGGGGATGGATGAGGCCGTGCCTGCGCACCAGCCACTTCCTTCGGGCACGCTCTCGCAGCCGATCCTGGTAAATTGACACCACTGCTAGCTGGAGCTCTGAAATGAATCGCAAAAGCGGTCCCTTTAGGTGGGTGCTCAAAATAATCATTTAGTGAATAGCCGTGCTCTTTGAAATCACAAAGGCTTAGGCAGCACAGCAGCCCACGTTTTAATGTTATCCAGATTAGAATTTGTGGTCCATAGCTAGTGTTCTTGCCATAAAAAACTGTCACATAATACTGTATTTATTCATGTAATGAGCACACTTTTTTTTATCTAAAAATCAGAGAAAAGTTAGGGGTGCGTTTATCATGCGGGGTAAAACTTTTGTGGGATAAGGAAAAAATGTGGTAATGCAAAAATAAAAAAGTTAGGTCGCTTAGCCTTTCACAATTGACATAGGCGTACGCTGTTTGTAAACAGCTTCTTTGTTGCGCTTCACTCATTTTCTGCAAGCTGTCCCTGCGCCGCCTGTGCACTCCAGAAGAGCGTTTCGCGGCTTTCTTTTCTCGCAAATGTTCAACCGCAACAGTGGTATCTACTGTGATCTCGAAGGGTGCACTTTGCCAACTTCGTGATAACCTCACATGACGATGCCCTTGACCTTGCACCAAGCTACCATGAAACATCCAAAACAAACTGCTGATAACAAGAACAACAAAAAAATATGGCCACGGTCTCGCTGTTCATGTGAGAAGTTACTGTAGAAAAGATAGTCTACATATTGCGTTGCTTGAAGTACGTATGCAATTTGCTTTTCAAGCATGAAGAGCAAATTGCACCCAGAACGAGAATAGAGGGTGCTACCATATTGCAAAAATAGTCACATTTCCTGAACGATAAGCGTTTTTTTTTTTTTTCCTCCAGAAACCTGCACGCGATTGCGACGAATGGCCCTTTGTGATAGCCATGGTGACAGCAAACCCTATCATCGTTCGAAAATCATGGGCATGTGGGCGGGCCTAAAGGTTTCCTATTTGCAGGAAGCGACGGTCAGTTGGTGAGGGAAGTTTCGTGACCTTCAGTCATTGTGTGCTTTTATCAGCTGCGATTTCTCTACACTCGCACCATTTGCGAACCCCGCTGTGGCACACGGATAATAAATGAAGACAGCGACATGCGGCGCGCAAATAAAGAGAAGAGGAAAGCGGCACATGACAGAGGGCGAAGGGTGAGCGGGAGCGAGCTGAGCTGGCCGAAGGAGGTCGACATAATAATAGAAATGAAAGAGGCCCGATGGGCAAGGAGGCGCCAGGTGCTGGTTAGCGGGACTGCCGCAGAGGAATGTACGTTTGAGGGTACGTTTATTATGTGAGTGCGTTGGATTGATATGTGGGGTTTACCGTCCCAAAACCACCATATGATTATGAGAGACGCCGTAGAGGAGTGTTCCAGAAATTTCGACCCCCTGGGGTTCTTTAACATGCACCCAAATCTGAGCACACGAGTCTACAACATTTCCGCCTCCAACGGAAATGCAGCCGCCGCAGCCGGGATTCGATCCTGCAACCTGCGGGTCAGCAGCCGAATACCTTAGTCACTAGACCACTGCGGCGGGGCTATGTGAGCGCGTTCATTACACGAATAAATACGGTAGTAAAAAAAAAAGTTACCAATAGATCTCCTTTGTGAAAACACAACAAAGGCTGTGTTGCCAGAAGCAATTTTTCAAATAAGCTTTATTTACAGGATTTCAAATGCAGATGATTTTCTCTGTTCCTTTTGCTGAGGCTATTCTGCGAAATATACTTTAAACATTTTTCTGCAGTTGCCCCTACAGAAGTTAAGTGCTGAATACTGAACGGAAAGAAAGTTGCAAGAAGCCCACATACACTTCTCGTAACTTTTTGCAACATTCTGTCCCGTATAGGCATGCTGTTTTGTGTTCTGTATGTACCAACTGTCCCGCCAACAATCTGTGTTGCGAGTCTTAAATATAGTCCCAAATTAATTGCAAACACAAATAATATTGGTAGTTAGCCTGGCAAAAACAATATGCTACACTACAGTCTTAATTCTTTGCATCAAAAAAGAATGCCTATTTTTACGTAGTAACAAGAATAAGCTATCTTTTTTTAAGCTTACCACAAGTTATTGCAACCTTTTGTTTACTCCCGGACATTGTACGCCATTTAAACTGCCAGAAGCACACCACAATTATTAAAGTGAAAACTTTAAAAGCTAAAAGAACTTGTTCATTCGGTGCAGATTGGTCCTGTACCACAAACACAACTTTCAAAGATATCATTTGCCAGAAAATATTATTGGGAACAAAACAACTACTAAGATAAAAGAAAGGTGCTTACTTAGGAGTGCTTCAAAACATACATGGAATTAACAATTTCTGAGAACTGTTGACTCTCATTTTTCAGTTTTGGCCCACAAAGCCTGTCAGGAAGGCTAAGCGCAAACTGCGCCTCATTGTTCGAGCAGGTTTGCGATTATTGTAGATTGCACACAAGACTTGAACACTTGAGGTAATTCCAGAGCTTGAGTGGCGACCAGCGATAAGGCTAGAATATCGACGGCTGACCCTCTGTTCACCACTATCACAAGCCGCAAGTTCGGTAAAATAAACAGTTTTATTTTTGACAAGCCATCTCTCTGTTTGCCACCGTCATGGCAAAATAGTAAAATTAAAGGGTTTCTTTTCAGTTGGCTGATGAAGCCAGGTAGTATTTCAACAATGAGGCAGTGCAGAGACCGGACAGTATTACTACATGATTTTAAGTGTAGCCGACAAAAATTTGCATGTGAAGGGCAAAGATGCTATTTCCTCAGCCTCACTGTAACTTCATTGGAAGCCCAAATGACAAGGTTGTGGTCCCTTCTAGTTCCAGATCTGCCTCATAGACGTCAACATACGAGAACATTTGAAATTTTGGACGCTAAAAATCTTTGGCATCTTATTTTTCGGACTTCCTACTAATATTTCAGGTTCAAAACAGCATTACTCGAGCTCCTGCCTGTTCGAGCCAGTGTTTTCAAGAGTCAATACATCTCCGACCACAGCAGAGCGTGAAAGAAAGTGTAATAAGGTGAAGCACTTGAAAATATGAAGGGTTCACTTTCTATCGGTTGCGCACTCTATTTGTTTGAAACAATGCTTTAAAGACAGCTTTGACGCAATACGAGATTGTGATGAGGTGAGGCATAGTGAACATCTGAAGGAGTCACTTTGAATGAGGTGTTGATTGCATGTTTTTCTCTGGAAGTTTGAATAGCGAAATTCCAGTGCAAATCAAATCGAATAGCAAATACTATTTAAGGATATTAGAAATTTCAATATTTGCACATCCCTAATCAAAACTTCTGGATCCTGCATTAAATATTTTTGAAATAAACTAGAACAAAGAGTACTCCAATTTATTTAAAACAAGCTAACAGAAACGAAACCGTCTGTTCTCTGAAAATATACCATTCACTCTAATGAACCCGTCATTGAAGTAGTAAGACTGTCATCCTACAAGACTTACACTAATTCTTATTTTTTTATTCCATCCACAACACTTGGAAATGTTTTCATTGAACTTAATATTGTCATCTCACAGTAAAGTCTATCATGATGATGAAGTGTAGGTTCACTGAGAACGTTCGACAGGATTGTGCCTAACAGCTACTTAACTTCTTAACAATCGCCTGTCTATTCTCATGAGCACTAAAAACTTCAATACAGTCAAAACCCGCAATAACAAAATCACCGGGAAACCGAAAAATTTCATTTTTCGCGAGAATTTCATTGCCGCGAGTATGAGACATAAAAACAGTGATACGGTCAGCAGAACGAAAACTTAGTGCCAAAAGTCGGTCAACTTACTTTGCCGACCCTTGCCATGCAACAACTTCAAAGCTCTCCCTTCGCAATGGAAAAAGTGGTCCATTGCTACGTTGTCGCCATGTGCGCCGAAGAAGGAGCGAAGGGAGTCCAGCGCATCCAAAACAACCCGCGGGTTAGGTTTCTCCGCGTGCATCTTTTCTTGGTCCTCGGTGACGTCAGCTTCGCGCACGCTTTCGATAATATCCTCGTCGGTCACTTCCTCGTACACGACCTTGTCGTCATCGGGGCGAGCGAACGCGGGGGCATCCTAGCGAGAGCCGATGTGCCGGTAGCCACCCACAGCACTTTCACGCAAACAGCCACACACAACACAACTCGCGGCGCTCATGTGTGTGAGGCTACGGAAGTGACAAAATGATGAAAGCAATGCAGGATGGGATTGTGTCGCCCCCTAATGGTGTCGCTGCAAGGCTGCTTAACATCATGATGATATCGTTGCCGTTCTTTTTTTTTTTTCGCGATCAACGGAGAACCCGCTTCCAGCGTCAAGCTTTTCTCAGGCGCCATTGTAACTTCATCTCGATTTCGCCACCAGTTCCAGTCTTCTCGTCGTCGTTTTGATTGATTCCAACTGTTGGTGTTGCTTCGGCTTGTTGAGCTCGTCCGACGGCGCCATCTGCACTCCAGCATGATCATTTGCCATCGCCTGCTGCAGTGTGGCCAGACATGTTGCCGGACACAGACCTCATTGCCGATTTAAGTAAAGAAAAATGGCGGTACCCGCGCTAGCGGGGCAAAAGCAGACGTTTACAAATTTTGAGTGTGCTTAAAATGCATATGAACATATTTTTGACAGTTCACTTTTGGTGGGAGGGTAAAATAAGGCCCACACCGTGGTAGACAATTCGTTAATGCAAGATCGCTGTCCAAAAACATTTCGTTGCCGCAAGATACGTAATACATGGGCTTCTATGAACATTCGCCGGGGATCCGGAAATATTTCGTTGCTACGGGGATTTCATACTCGCGGAGTTTCGTTATTGCGGGTTTCGACTGTAGCAACATAAATATGCATCTCTAGCACTTGCCATCTTTTTTTTGTCTGGTAGACTACAAAAAATGCTGTCTTGGGGCACACGCCGCACAAGTCACAAGATTTTTGAAGAAATGTAGCAGGAAGTAACAGGTTTAACCTTTTGGCACACTTTGGTGCAGCTATCACACCACTTTCTTTTCCCATGATTCACTGCGCCAAATTGTGGTGGCACATGTGATATAAAAGAAAGGTTCATCTAAGCGACCTGTGCACGAGACTGATTTTTTTTTTTTTTTTTTGTCGCGAGAAAGAGAGCGTGAAGCACGTGCCAGGAGCTGGAGTGCGGCGTCGATGTGTGACACCCCAATGGTGCGCATACATGCCATGTTCATGTACGAGATTGAACACGAAGGCTTATGGCACGCGACCTCTAGCCGTGATGGAAAATCCCAAAGGATGAGCTGTCACTGTACTGTGGGGTGTCGAACTGCGAAAATCAGGAAGGTCAGCGTCGCTACAGCGAGAGAAGCAGTAGCCGCCCTGCTCCGAAGGCTATCGACGAAGATGCCCGGGGTGTGGCCGTTGAGCTCGGAAGACCAAGGTGAGGCTACCCAAACTTGCCCCACTCTTTTACAGCAGTTCCTGGTGGGCCTACAGCTCTTCCACATCGTACCAGAATGGTTGCACTCTGCACTACAGTCATCGAAGTGCCCCGTCGACATAGAACGATGCCATTGACGAGCTAGGTTTAACCTAGCCGGACCGAAGACAACAAAAAAACCAAGATACCGGCAATGAAGACATGTAGCTTTTTGGGCAAAAACAGCCGACGACGACCGTAGGAGCTTGTGGAAGATGTTCATAACGGACTGTGATGAACTGTCAACACGGCAAAGGCAGGGTCGACCCTGAACTGTAAGAACATTTGGGTATCGAGATGCCATATTAAGCACTGGCTAGGGCTAGAGTTGACCTGTAAGATGACTTACTGTTTTAGTTCCAGCGTAGAGCCGAGCTTTGTGTGTGTGCATGCGTTACGTTCATTTCTAGTATTGGTGTTTCCTATTCTTTGATAGAAAAGGTGTGTCTTGCCACGCCCATCTCTTATTTCTCTCTCTCAATCTACCCTCAGCAAGCATTCCCGTAAGAAAAGCAAACGCTCCAAGACAGCCCCATTAAGCTGCGCATCGCAGGAATTCATCACTCAAGATTAAACTCGGCCAAACATGTTAGCATTAAGAACAACACTGTAAACCTAAACAAGAGGTTTGTTTGTTTTTTCCCAGTTCTACTGGGAGTAGAGTGCGCTTCTACTGCACATCCTTCCTCTCGAAATTTTTCTGGGCTCTGCCCTGTTAATTTTTCTTTTCTAATAGAAATTGCCTGCTATATGTTCATGGTGCAGGCTTTGTTTTTTCTACCTCACAATTTTCCTACCTCACAACGTCATCGCGCACTGCTAGGAGGGTGTGACCAACTTGGCACCACTCCAACACCTGCGGCGAGGGGAGCGGTGCGGACAGAGGGACAGCATTACACAGGCTAGTCAAAGAGCTGGTTCGCATCCAGATGAATGTGTGTGTTTTGTAGTGCAGAAGACCGCCCGTATGTGTCATGAGTAAAAGGGCAGGATGCACGTGCCAAGCAGTGGAATGCGGCGATAGCGCGCGAGGCCCCAATGGTGTTTATATGCGTCTTGCTCACGTATGTGAGCATGACACGAACTTACGCTTACTTGAGTTCGTGGCGGGTCACCCGAGCTGTGGTGGAAAATTCTCCGAAGATGAGGTAGCATTGTCCTGCGGAACACCGAACGAAGATCGAAGGAGACAGTGTCACTCAAGCGGCAAAGGCCCGAGTAACCGATTCTGATGGTAGTGGCATGAGGGTGCCGAAAAGCAGCCGCCGATCTCAGTAGACACTGACAGACGCTTTCTGGACCTGCAGCACCTTGCGAAAGCAGTTCTCGAGACACCTGCCACTCTTCACCTTTTTTAACAGAATGGCTGTGACCCACTTGACAGTCCCCGGAGAGCACATAGATGGGTAGGCCTAACCTGCCAAGGCCCATAATGACCAGGTTACAAGCAATAGAGACAAGAAGATCATCAGAAGGATGCTGATGGACAGCAACTGGATGACCACTTTCAGAGCGTCACAGACTTTGATGACGGAACACTTCGTCATAGTTTCAAGATGGCATAATGAACAGTAGGATGTCCAACTATTGTGTGACTGCACGAGAGTAGCAACAGGGAGGCCATCTTGGCCAGAGCTGGGTTAGGGCGAAAGTACTGAACTGGACTTTGGTGTTAGTACCGATTTCGCTGGATAGTAGATCACTGTGTACATGTTTCTTTTTGGTGAAAATTTTCACGTTTCGTTATATCCTGCCATTTTGTAATATAAAAATGTGTTTGCAGCACTACCTCTGACTCCCATCTGTCTCTCAACTCCATCACTGCAAGTACTCCTGAGATAATCATGATAGCCAACAAGACCTCCAATGCTTAGCACGGGAACAGAGTCATGCTCAGTCTTTGCCCTAGCATTGCTGAGCAAGGAACATCACCACAGCCATTGCAGTGTACTTCCTAATTTAAAAGTGTAGTGCAGTCACTTTCATCAATAATGTTGCAAGAGGAGACCTCTATCCAGGGTGTCTGCACGATGCTGGAAATCCACGTCAGCCATATCCATTTCTGCAAAGTTGTCAAACTCGTGGGCAAAGTCACCCCTGGCCGCCATGTAACCAGCCATGTCAGCCTGTTGTTGGGAGCACAGCAGAGGCCGTGGTGGGTCCCCCAACACTGCATGAAATAATACACAGCATTACACAAATTGTAATATATGTAATGCTGCAAGTAACTTGAAAGAGAGTACCATCATGAAATTTCATGTCTAACTCATCTGTCTGCAACTTACAAACCAATGTGGCCAAGAAATCAAGCTCTTCATTTCAACCATTCATTTAAACTAGCCCTATATATTTAGATAAGAAATAGCAATTGATTGTTTTGTCATAGATGGATTGACACGGATGCTCACCAACTGCCCACCTTTCAGCAGCAACCTTCTGCTTTTGTTAGTGGAATCAAGCAGCTTGGTTAGGCACACTCCAGACAGGCCAAGTTTAGTGCATTACTAAGCCATGTGCATTGCTACCCTTTGTGTTTTGTTTGTTGGACCAGCAACCATATTTATTCGAATAAAGGTCGACCTTTTTTTCCTGAAAATATTGTTCATAACCAGCTATTGACCTATATTTGTGACCAAAAAATATCGGCCTATATTCATGACCAAACCAACCAAGAGTGCCAAACTTATGGCCTTCAACTGTCGCACCCGCAGTTCTTCAAGCAGTTCCTGCAGCATACGCACGGTAATACCATAAAATCTGAACTAAAGACTTCCCTCCCTTCCGACTACCTAAGTAATTAAGAAAAAAGTTATTGATGCAATACCCCCTTAATGCCTTTTCAAAGCCCCCGCGAAATGCAGCCGCTCCGCCATGTTTGCGATGAAAACCATGATTTCCCTAGGTATAGGCCGTGAAATTCCTAGCCTGCTAGCCGTGCTTCCGGTGCTGCCTTCCGGTGCGCAGCCGCACTAGCACTGGCCAGAGGCTTCGCGCTTTGTTTGATGTACGATCGGCGTGACATGGTGACGGTTCGCATTTGGTTCAGGCACTGTGTCATGCTCCCAACTGGGCTGCGGAAATTAGGAGCCTTTTTTCTTCTAACCACCACCACTATTAGCTTCTGTGTGGTTGCGTTCAATGTCAGGTTGGCAGAGCTACACAAGTGACTTGAAATGCAATGTGATACTTTTTGCCGAGAACACAAGCAATTGTGGCACGCAGCGCGAGTTCTGTGTAAATGAGAAGTTGATCAGGGGTTAGAGAAAGCAGTAGGACCGTCTGTTTGCATGCAACGAACAGCGTCATGCTTTTCGCGGCCCAGCAATCGGCAGCGAAGATGACATTGTTGGGAAGCCGCGGACGCTTGCGAAAAATCTCATGACAACATTTTGCACATCTGACAAGAGAAGGCCCCAGCAGTAATTAGGACGCTAAGTAATGTAAATAAAGGTGTACTACGTTTCAGTTTTTTTTTCTAAATTAAAAAAAAAACATCGACCAACACACATTCGAAAATTTTTTTTCCTCGTAGAACACTATAAGTAGTGGTCGACAAATATTTGTGCCCGACATATTTTCGAGTAAATATGGTAATAGCCATGTAGGCTATTGGACCATATATTTTGTGTGCATTTTTTGCTATTACGTCTTAATAAAACACATCTGGTATAATTTTTTTATTTGATTTTTGGGCTTACACTGAACTCTACAGTACCTACAAGTAGCGCAGCAGTCCACTGCACCAATGCGCCACCAGAGGGGCGAGTAGGAACTTGCGGCCACTTCAGTGTCAACTGGCATGCTACGAATAGTCGTCTCTCCGACAGTTAAGCCAACATTGTATGCAAGCGCGTGTGCACAAAGGTGACATATTTGATAAAATGGGTATTCTTCTATAAAGGTAACAGAGCATGATTTTTCTGGGGCCCCAAACGAAGAGAGAAAGGACAGAAGGGTTGATTGATCATTGATATGTGGGGTTTAACATCCCAAAACCACCATATGATTATGAGAGACGCCGTAGTGGAGGGCTCCGGAAATTTCGACCACCTGGGGATCTTTAACGTGCACCCAAATCTGAGCACACGGGCCTACAACATTTCCGCCACCATCGGAAATGCAGCTGCCGCAGCCGGGATTCAAACCCGCGACCTGCGGGTCAGCAGCCGAGTACCTTTGCCACTAGACCACCGCGGCGGGGCAGACAGAAGGGTTGAGAGATGTTTACGGAATCAATCATGTTTTCGATGTGATGTAACACAGACGCACGACAATGTTTTGAAGGGGCGATTTGTGCATGCGGTCAGCTGATGTAAACCTCAAAGCATAGCAAGGGTGTCCGCTTGTAAACGTAATTTCTTGTCATTTTGAATGCTTATTCTGGATTAAACGATGAAATTCCTGTCTGAAATGTGTTAGACAACCCGTTGCTGTGCACGTAAGTAATACATACATTTGCTGAGCTCCACGTGTTGCATTTAGCAATGCTTGACATTTTTGCGTTGTTTTCTGTTCTGTAGTTCACCTCCGTTCGTAGTCCCAATGCTCGGGCTACCCGAGTCCTTTAATAAATTCGTCACATGACAGCTTTGTATGCGATATTTCAATTGTCACGGAGCACAATAGAACAGCATGGTGCGGGTTCATTTGCATGCACAGTGCTGTTAAGGGCTATGGCAGTGCACGGGGAATAAAATTTAGAATTCCACAGTCTGTGACGCATTTTGCCTGGCATAAGGGGCTTTGCGCAATGCGCCAATTCCTTTCGTGCACTCCTGCAGCGTGGCGCCACCAGCTCAGTGCACGTTTGCTATATGCTTGTCACGATTATCTCGGGAGCGCTTGCTAAAGATTGGAGTAAGAGAGACCATGATGGCAAGACTTTACACACTGGACGGACAAAGGAAACAAATACACCAAATTCGCATCAAACCAGCATGCACACAAAACTCAGCAAAACACCGAAACCGGAACTAACAATGAGCCAAGTTAGAATCAACTCTAGCCCCAGCTAGTTAATAGCCACATCGGCTTCTCTGTGCTTACTCAAAGATGCTCGCTCTTCGATTGAACGTTCCTACTGTTTGTGCTGACGACTTGCAACTACGAAGAAGTTTCCCCTTTGTAGCCAATAGTGCTTCTCTCTACTTGCTCAAAAACACTCGCTCTTGAAACTACAGCACTAGATAAACAGCACTACAACACCAGATTAAAAGACTAAAAGATGCTGGATATCCAAACAGCACCATCCCACCCATTTGTGAAACCTTCTGCAGTAATTAAAGTTAGACATAACAGGACCAAAATAAAAACAGAATGAGCAAAAACCTTTGCATGTTATACCGTACGTAAATAAGGTATCTCACAGTTTAAAGAAAATAGGAAGTAGATATGATAATAACTTGTTACTTTCCGCCCCTTGCAGGCTTTCAAAAGTGTGTGTACAGTCGAACCCAAGCATATCAAACTCGCCAAAAAACGTTTATGAGTTCGATATATGGCATCATTTGATACAGGCCCTGTATAGAATTTCACACAAAGGCACATAATAAATTATAATAAAAGTAGTTTATTAATATGGCGGCTTATTTGTGACCCCTACTGTGGTACAAAATAGTCCCGAATTTCCTTCTGGGTCAACGACTTTGCTGCCTGCGACAGCACGCACGCCTCCACGCTGTCCAATGAGTCGGAGCAGCTGAGGCCGCAACCTTCCACATTCACACAATAGCGCCGGACCAACACAAGTGCACTAATCACTTCGGAGGATGCAGGCAATGGGCCATCGTCACTTTCCTTATTGCTGCCCCTTTGGCTCATGGTCGACACGAGGTCTGCAATGTAGTCCTCGTCTTGCCGCTGACCCGTGATGGCGACATCATCGTCCGCACTGACGAATTTGTCGAATGTCGATCCGTCGACAGCACCCGGGAACTCTGCCAGCTCGTTCCAAACTGGCGGAAACACCTGCGGTCACTTCAGTGCTGTCGTCGGAATTTGGGGTGTCATCACCAGGTATGCGGAAGCCGGCATGCTTAAAGCACTTCTGGATGGTCTCCTGCGTGACATCTGCTCACGATCTACTCAACATAGAAACAGCTCCGAGGAAGTCGATCTTAAGCTTCCTGCCGACACGAAAGTTCTGCAGCAGCCTCTCCACCAGGCGCTTCCGATAGCCGGCTTTCATTGCGCGTATAACGCCTTGATCGAGTGATTGCAGTACAGATGTAGTGTCGGGGGCAAATGCAGCTCGATTTTGCTGAAGGTCATACTGCAGTGGTGCGATGAACAATTGTCCACAAGCAGGCACACCTCGCAATTTTCGCCTACCAAATCATTCCACGATGATAGCCACTTGCCGAAAAGCTCCCCGGTCATCCACGCTTTTGAGTTTGCTCGGTAGTAACTGGAAGCAACAGCGCATTTCGAAAACACCGCAGTGTCGCGCTTTTCCTGATAACCAGAGCTCGAAGCTTTTTCGATCCCTCTAAACTAGCTGCCAACAGCACGGACACACGAGCTTTGTTTGCCTTGCCGCCGCAAGTTTTGTCGCCACGACACGCAAGTGCATTTGGCAAAATTTGGCAACATTTGCCAAAATAGAGCGGTTTCATCTGCATTGAAGAAATCTTGGACTTGATATCTTGCTGTGATATCTCGCCAGTTTTCCTCAAGCCATTTGTCTACGCTGTCCAGGTCTGCCGCTCTGCTTTCACCTGTAACAGCTTTGCCAACAATGTCGTGCTGTTCTTTGAACCGTTGGAGCCAGCCTGAACCGCCTTGTAAATTGTTCCTGCCAAGCAGGAAAGCAAGGTCCTGGACTTTCTGCTCGATCATAGGGCCGGACACCGGACTGTTTCGCGACCGAACGTCTACAAACCACTTGTAAAACGGCCGCTTCAACATCTTCGTACACAGCAGTGCGCACACGTCGGGTGCCACGGGCATCTGGCCTTTTGTCCGACTTGGCCCTGATGTCTGCCTTGTTCTTCAGGATAGTACTCAAGGTGCTCAGAGGAATTTTGTACGAGGAGGCGACGTCAGACTTCTTTTCATCGCGCTCGACCCGATTTGTGATTTTGAGTTTTTTGGGCAAACGGCGAATTCTGCCTCTTTGCGCAAGCCATGATGACAACGCGCCAACACAGTTCACAGAGTAACAGGAAACAC